TCCTGCTGCAGTTTGAAGGAGGATCGACTTTGGATGATGGGACTTGCAGTACCATCACTCACATTCTGAGACCGCTGTTAAACTCATCCAATGTCTGATCAGGACCAAACTTGGCACATAGACCTCTCATGACCCACTTTACATCCTGGTGTGTGTTTGGCTGGGGATAGACCATGGATTATGGGACTTGCAGTACTTTTGCGCAATTCCTGAGACCACAGCAACGCTCATCCAATTACCGATAAAGACCAAACTTGGCACACTGAGTCTCCATGACGCACTCTACATCCAGGTGCAGTTTGAAGGAGGATGCACCATGGACGATGGGACTTGCAATACCTGCACTCCCTTCCTAAGACCATTACAACTGCCAACAATGATGGATCAGGACCACAATTTACACAGAGACCCAGCATGACCCACTCTACATCCTGGTGCGGTTTGGAAGAATTTGACAATGGATGATGGGACTTGCAGTCACTTCACTCACTTCCTGAGACCACTGAGACCCTCGCCAATGACTGATCAAGACCAACCTTGGCACACAGAGTCCCCATGACCCACTCTACATCCTGGTGCAGTTTGGAGGAGGTCAGACCATGGATGATGGGACTTCAAGTACCTCCACTCCCTTCCCAAGACTGCTGCAACCCTTACTAATGTCCGATCATCCTGGTGCTGTTTGGAGGAGTACGGACAATGGATGATGGGACTTGCAGTACCTTCACTCACTTCCTGAAACCACAGTAACATTCATCCAAATACCAATAAAGACCAAACTTTGCACAGAGAGCCCCCATGGCCAACTCAACATTCTGGTGATGTTTGAGGGAGACTATGGATGATGGGACTTGCAGTACCTTAACTCACTTTCTGAGACTGCTGTGACCCTCATCCAATGACTGATCAAGACCAAACTTAGCACAGAGAGCCCCCATGACCCTCTCTCCATCCTGGTGCACTTTCGAGGAGGACAGACCATGGATGATGGGACTTCAAGTACCTCCACTCCCTTCCCAAGACTGCTGCAACCCTTACTAATGTCCGATCAAGACCAAACTTGGCACACAGAGCCACCTTGACCCACTCTACATCCCGATGCTGTTTGGAGGAGGACGGACAATGGATGATGGGACTTCAAGTTCCTTCACTCACTTCCTGAAAACAATGCAGCCGTTATCCAATGACCAATAAAGACCAAATTTGGCATACAGAACCGCCATTACCCACTTTCTCTAATAACCCGGGCAGCGCCGGGTAAGAGTGTTTGCTTGTATATAATAAAGAAGAGTGTTTGTATCGGACAGAGGAATTGTGGAGGGAGGGCGGTGTATGTGGCAGCGTTCTGATTGGCTGCCGCTGTGGTGCTATTTGCATATGGTCTCTGATTGGCCAGCTTCAATAGGAGCCCCTGGTGGAGAAGAGGGTTCATGGCAGAAACGGGGCATGACAGAAGGAAATTTGCATATGGTCTCTGATTGGCCAGCCTCAAATCCAACATTCCGAGATGAGAAAGAGAGGAAAGGAAAGGCCGGGGCCTGGGTCAGAACACTCCCTATACAGATCGAAATAGGCACACAGAGCCCCCATCACCCACTCTACATCCTACTGCAGTTTGGAGGACTATGAACCATGGATGATGGGACTTGCAGTACCACCACTCACATTCTGAGACCGCTCTCAACCTTATCCAATGACTGATCAGGACCAAACTTCGCACAGAGACCTCTCATGACCCACTTTACGTCCTGGTGTGGTTTGGCCGGGGATGGACCGTGGATTATGGGACTTGCAGTACCATTGCTCATTCTTCAGACCACTGCAACCCTCATCCAATTACCAAAAAATACCAAACTTGGCACACCGAGTCTCCATGACGCACTCTACATCCAGGTGCAGTTTGAAGGAGGATGCACCATGGACGATGGGACTTGCAATACCTGCACTCCCTTCCTAAGACCATTATAACTGCCAACAATGATGGATCAGGACCACAATTTACACAGAGAGTCCGCATAACTCACTCTACATCCTGGTGCGGTTTGGAAGAATTTGACAATGGATGATGGGACTTGCAGTCACTTCACTCACTTCCTGAGACCACTGAGACCGCCAATGACTCATCAAGACTAAACTTGGCACATGGAGCTTCAATGACCCACTCTACATCCTGGCGCAGTTTGGAGGACGACAGACCATGGATGATGGGACTTCAAGTACCTCCACTACCCAAGACTGCTGCAAAACTCATCTAATGACCCATCAAGACCAAAGTTGGCACACAGAGCCCCCATGACCCACTCTACATCCTGCTGCAGTTTTGGAGAAGGGTGGGCCATGGATGATGGAACTTCCAGTACCTTCACTCACATTCTGAGACCTCTGCAAACCTCATCCAATGACGGATCAACACCAAACTTGGCACATAGACCTCTCATGACCCACTTTACGTCCTGGTGTTGTTTGGAAAAATTTGGAGATGGATGATGGGACTTGCAGTACCTTTGCTCACTTCCTGAGACCACTGAGACCCTCGCCAATGACTCATCAAGACTAAACTTGCCACATGGAGCTCCAATGACCCACTCTACATCCTGGTGCAGTTTGGAGGAGGACAGACCATGGATGATGGGACTTCAAGTACCTCCACTCCCTTCCAAAGATTGCTGCAACCCTCTTCTAATGACCAATCAAGACCACACCTGGCACAAAGAGCCCCCATGATCCACTCTACATCCTGCTGCAATTTGAAAGGGGATGGACTTTGGATGATGGGACTTGCAATACCTTCACTCACTTACTGACACCACTGCCACCCTCATCTAATGACTGATAAAGACCAAACTTGGCACACAGAGCCCCCATGACCCACTCTATATCCTGCTGCTGTTTGTAGGAGGATGGCCCATAGATGATGGGACTTCAAGTACCTTCACTCACTTCCTCAAAATAATGCTGCCATTATCCAAAGACCAATAAAGACCAAACTTGGCATACAGAACCGCCATTACCCACTTTCTCTAATAACCCGGGCAACGCCGGGTCCCCAAGCTAGTATATAATAAAAGTCAAAACTTGTATGCGGCGGATGTGTGGCGGTGTATGTGCCGGCTTTCTGATTGGCCAGCCTGAAAGTTCCACGATTCTGATTGGCTGCTGTGGTGCTATTTGCATATGGTCCTTGATTGGCCTGCTTCAACAGGAGCCCCTGGTGGAGAAAAGGGTTCATGACAGGAATGGGGACATGACAGAAGGAAATTTGCATTTGGTCTCTGATTGGCCAGCCTCAATTCCAAGATTCTGAATGGCTGCCGCTGTGGTGCTATTTGCATATGCTCCCTGATTGGCCTGCTTCAACAGGAGCCCCTGGTGGAGAAAAGGGTTCATGACAGAAACAGGGACATGACAGAAGGAAATTTGCATATGGTCTCTGATTGGCCAGCCTCAATTCCAAGATTCTGAATGGCTGCCGCTGTGGTGCTATTTGCATATGCTCCCTGATTGGCCTGCTTCAACAGGAGCCCCTGGTGGAGAAAAGGGTTCATGACAGAAACAGGGACATGACAGAAGGAAATTTGCATATGGTCTCTGATTGGCCAGCCTCAATTCCAAGATTCTGAATGGCTGCCGCTGTGGTGCTATTTGCATATGCTCCCTGATTGGCCTGCTTCAACAGGAGCCCCTGGTGGAGAAAAGGGTTCATGACAGAAACAGGGACATGACAGAAGGAAATTTGCATTTGGTCTCTGATTGGCCAACCTCAATTCCAAGGTTCCGAGATGACAAAGAGGAAAGGAAAAGGCCAGGGGAGGCTGGGTCAGAAAATTACCAATACAGAGCCCACAAGACCCACTCGACATCCTACTGCAGTTTGGAGGAGGATGAACCATGGATGATGGGACTTACAGTCCCATCACTCACATTCTGAGACTGCTGTTAACCTCATCCAATGACTGATCAGGACCAAACTTGGCACATAGACCTCTCATGACCCACTTTACGTCCTGGTGTGTTTTGGCCAGGGATGGACCATGGATTATGGGACTTGCAGTACCTTTGCTCAATTCCTGCAACCCTCATCCAATTACCAATAAAGACCAAACTTGGCACACTGAGTCTCCATGATGCACTCTACATCCTGGTGCGGTTTGGGGGAGGATGCACCATGGACGATGGGACTTGCAATACCTGCACTCCCTTCCTGAGACCATTACAACTGCCAACAGTGATGGATCAGGATCACAATTCGCACAGAGAGCCCGCATGACCCACTCTACATCCTGGTGTGGTTTGGAAAAATTTGGAAATGGATGATGGGACTTGCAGTCACTTCACTCACTTCCTGAGACCACCAAGACCCTCACCAATGACCGATCAAGACCAAATTTGGCACACAGAGTTCCCATGACGCACTCTACATCCTGGTGCACTTTCAAGGAGGACAGACCATGGATGATGGGACTTCAAGTACCTCCACTCCCTTCCCAAGACTGCTGCAACCCTCATTTAATGTCCGATCAAGACCAAACTTGGCACACAGAGCCCCCATGACCCACTCTACATCTTGATGCTGTTTGGAGGAAGGTTGACCATGGATTATGGGACTTGCAGTACCTTTACTCATTTACTGAAACCACTGCGACCCTAATCCAATGACTGATAAAGACCAAACTTAGCACACAGAGCCCCCATGGATGATGGGACTTCAAGTACCTTCACTCACTTCCTGAAAACAATGCCACCGTCATCCAGTGACCAATAAAGACCAAACTTGGCATACAGAAGCGCCATTACCCACTTTCTCTAATAACCCCGGGCAGTGCCGGGTCCCCAAGCTAGTATATATATAAAAAACAATTCATAGTAGTACTCCCCATTCATTACACTTTAAGTTAACATGATTGACATGAATGTGATTTTGCTATAATCTGTCTTTTTAAATTTATCATTGTCTGTCATATAATATTCTCATTTCATTTTGGTATATTTTCATGTGATAGATGACGCACTCAATGCCATCCCACTGCTCTGAATGGAATGATGGAAGAAACTCAGATGAAGAAAAGAGTACCAATAGTCACAAGCGCAGGAGGCAGTCCCACAGCAGTGAGAGACATGACAAACACTATAAATCACTTAAAACTGCAGACAGGTAAATTACTTGAACTTAATGATGATCTAATTGTAACTAGGTTTAACTTAAATTTTAAATTGATTAACATTTGTCACTTAAGTTATCATTTTCATATCAACTCTTACCAGAGTAGTTATCAATCCACTTATATCTAGTGATATTGCATGTGTTGTTAATGTCATTTATTCATCTTAAGGACTTGAATATGAGGGAATGCTGTTTAAAGGATGATTTAAGAATGTAAATGTTGACATAAAAATAAGCTTGAGTCTGATTCTCTCTTTGATCCAGTATATTGAATGAAATTTTAAGCTCCAGAAATGTCTGCTGTCAGATTGCATATGGGTATGTGTATAGGTTTTAAGCAATATACAAAACAATTTCAATGTATCATGTAGATATTATTTTATAATTGTCTATTTGTTTTTATTTTTAACCTTTTATTGGTTTTTATGTAATCCCTGAAAAAACCTATTGTAATAGATACACAAGCCAATATGTGTTGGTCTTTTTCTAAAATTAAATAAAGACTATCTACTTGAATACTTGGGGACATGACTCCTTCGCCTTTTCCCCGTGGATTCCTTTGGCTGATCTCCAGGACCTGCCTCTATTAGGGGAAAAAAAGATAGTTGAGAAAATGTTGTTGGTTTCATTCCAAACCATAGAATAAACATGTTTTCAAATATGTACAGGTTTTTCTCGCAGCCTAATTTAGCAGATATTATGGAGCCATAGACCCTTAGTAGTTTTAGGTGGCATGGAGTAACATCCCTGAACAGAAGCTCTATACCTCTATTGTCTTGGCTAACCAATTATTGCCTTCAATAGGTGGGGTGGTCCCTAATTTGTAGTTTTCCAGAAAGTACAGTAGGTTGAACCCAATGGCACTTTGAATTATAGCTGGGATTTGGTGCAGCACTCTTTGTCTGTGTAGGTTGTTTTGGTGATCACTCTTCTATATTTACAGAGTTTGGGGGAGTTGTAACTGTTGCCTGTGAATAGCTTACAATCACACTTTAAATCTTGTGCCAGACTGGGTAAATAGATCTAGTACATACCCTGACATATGTGTAGGGATTGATTTGGTGACAGAAAATATTTCATGTTCTCTTTTTTAAGTTGGAAAAATAAGTCATATATATTTTTTCAATAGATCCACTCATAAGACAGACCATCGCAGCAGGAGATATGTTGAAGAATACAGAAATGACTTTAATGATACAGATGACCAGAAACATTATAATAGAGATTATGAAAAGAGTCACTGTCATCATTATAGCAAATCATCTCATCAACACAGTAAAAGTCATAAAAGAAAGCATAAGAAACATGACTCCACCAACAGCTCGCATTTGGTATGTATAGATTTAAAATATAATAATGGTATTACATTTCTTTGCAGAATATGAGATTCTGTTAATGTAAATGCTTGTAAAATGCATGAGAAAGAATTGCACTTGGGTTGCCCTGATCATGTATATTTGCATCTATTTAGATATTTGGGGATATAGTGAATGGAGTTAAGTATATAATTCCAGATTTATTGAGTTTTTACTAATTTTTCAAGTATTTTGTAAACGCAGATGATTACTTAGTATTTCAGATTACATTGAGAATATAAAAATAACCAAATGCTTCTGTCATTTTAACTAGTGTTACATCATTATGGAAAACCTCTTTCTATCATGTATCTAGAACTTTAGAAGTCTTTAATTAAATGAAAATACCATGGTGTCTGAATTGATTTCAGCATACCTCTGTGGAGTAGCTTAAATTGTGGCAACTGTTGGTCATTCATTAAATGATGGTATTGCTTACTAATAGAAATGCTTATATTATGCTACTTAGCAAGGAAAGAACCCCAGGTTCCTAATAAAAAGTATGGTGCAGCCTATATATGTATGTATTCAGATTTAAGATTTTTAAGGTGCTATTGAATGCATACATTTGGAATTTTAAATTGTAATTGTATTCCAAGAAATCTAAATAATGCCACTCTAGCTTTTCAAAATGTGGAACAAAAGATAATTGCGCAAAAAGTCTATTGTTGATTTTAATAATATATAATTGCTATTTTAAAACATTTTGTTTGAAGTTAAAGAAGATCATTCCTGATTATAATTTCATAAAACTAGACATGCACATGACAACATTGTTTCGAATAACAAAATTATTTGCATTGCAAGTTTAATTTCAGTCTTCAAGTAATCTAGTATCTAAGAGACAAACTGTATTGTGTTTCTGTTGTCTTGCAAGAATTTTAAGAATTTATCTGAAAATCTGTTCCTTGCCATGTTTTTCTTCTGTAACATAAACTGTGCCCTGTGAATTTCTGGGGACTGAATTTGAAATTGCTCCTGCCAACTGTTCGTGGCCTGGTGCGTAACTGAATTCCTGAATATCCCCGCTGAATGAATTGCGTATTCTACCCTGAATTCACTCTGATATATTGATTGGCTGGACGATCTTGGTGCCGTTTCCAGAAGAGCCACCGAAGGAAAAGATCCAGGAGTGTAGAGGATGATGAGGAGGGTCATCTGGTCTGCCAAAGTGGAGACGTACTAAGAGCAAGATGTATAGAATATTTTTCAACACTTTTTTAAAAAACCTTTCAGCAAAACATCTGTTTAGAATAGTATGTTAGACGAGGAGTGGGGCGGGGTTAAAAAACCTACACTGCTCTCTTTTGTCTTTTATTTTGTCTTTGTGTTGTTTTACTTTTCTGTTCTTTTCTGTATTCTTAAGTAATTGTTATTCAATACTTTAGTAGTAAATGAAGTTTTAAGGCTAGACAGATAGCTAGTTATCTGTTTCATGACAACTGTCCAATGGAATAACACATCCAAAGGCAGATACTAAATTAACGTTTTTATAATGACATGCTTAATTGCTTACACCATTGTTCAACTTGTTCAGCAACAGATGCAATGTATTCTTTCTTTTATAGATGAAATTATTGCCACTTTAGGGGAGGGTGCTTTTGGAAAAGTAGTAGAATGCATTGATCATCACATGTAAGTACGCCATCTCTCCACAGTTATCTCAAAGTTATATATGAAGTGTATATGAAGCATAAATGAAATTGGTGTTTAGACCTGGGTCCCGTTATGTAATTATGTATGTATATGCAAATCCAAGTATTCCAAGACTCTTCCCCCCCCCCCCCCCCCCCCCCCCCCAAGCCGCAAAAAAATAAATCCAAAACATTTTTGGTTCCAAGTATTTCAGATCCGGGTACTCAATCTATAATAAAGATAACCTGAAAAAGAGAATGACAGATATGATCCAGTGAAGCCACTTTCTTTCTAACCTTCACTGTTGTAGATTCTGCAGCTGATTGATGCAACTAGTTTGATCGTGGTCTGTGAGACTTGCTGCAATGAAGTTCTCACCATTTTAAGTTATGACCAGAATTTGATCAAGTTTCCCTTGTAAAATGTTAACCGGGGGGGGGGGGGGGATCTTAAAAAGTCTGCCCTTTGATTTCAGCGTCCAGTTAAATTTATTTAAAAATAAAAGCTAATGTTAGGTATTATTTATGATATCTATTTTCGTACAATACTGAAATCAACAAGTAATAACAAATAGCAATATTTATGTCTACCTCTCAGTTTAAGTGCTGAAATTCCTAAATGCAGGTGGGCACAGTAAGAAGCAGTTTTCACCTACTTCACAACATGAAGAACATAACATTTAAAAGGCTCTTCTAAACTGGTGTGCTATATAAGCAATCAGCAAATTAAATTACGGTATATATTGCTGGAGTTTGTAATTCTATCAGGGACATCATTAAGTCCGCATTGGTCTCAGCCTTGAAACTGACCTTAGCAAGTTGGAAATAATGACACACCCCAGTGAATATACAATCAGTAAAATGCATGAAATTTGCTGGAAAGCAGATGTAGTTGTATCACAATGTTTTAATTTTATTCTGTAGGAGGGCAGTACATGTCGCCATTAAAATAGTGAAAAATGTTGGGAGATATCGAGAAGCAGCTCGTTCAGAAATTCAGGTATTGGAGCATTTAAATACCTTGGATCCTAGCAGCACCTTGTAAGTATAAATTAGAATGAAGATGTTGTTTTAAACATTACTAAGTCATTGCCTATTTTATTAAAGTGATGTTTTGGTCACTTTTTCCTAGCCGTTGTGTACAGATGTTGGAATGGTTTGAACATCATGGCCACATGTGCATTGTGTTTGAGCTGCTGGGACTCAGTACTTACGATTTTATTAAAGAAAATAGCTTTTTGCCTTTTCCTATTGAACTTATTAGGAAGATGGCTTATCAGATTTGTCAATCCATAAACTGTAAGTAAACTTAATTTTTAAGAATATGTCCATATCTAAAAATGTTGGATATTGATTCCAGTATTGAACTCCCACCTCTTTTTCTTTTTGCAGTCTTACATCATAATAAGTTGACTCATACAGATCTGAAACCTGAAAATATTTTATTCGTAGAGTCTGATTATATTGTAAAGTACAATTCCAAAATGGTAAGTTGGTTTGCTTAAGGTTAGTTCCTTGTGGTCTATCCTTACTTTTCTCAGTGGTTGAACATGCCATACACAATTAACAAGTTTGCTTGTGGAAGAAAGGAATTACTTTTCTATCAACCAAGATATTCTCAAGTGCATTTTTCCTATCAAGTGGGGCTGCTTTGGTGTTTGAACCTTGAACAGATTATCAGAAAATCTGATCTATGTGTTCTACTCATATGCGCTTGATAGGCCAGCAACTACAAAATCTTTTATCTTATTCAGTTTCTAAGACTATTTCAAGGTGTTGAAATATGTTGATGACTATAAGAAGAATCAGAACTTCCCTTTCAGTTGTCATTAGTCTGGGATAATTTGGGAAATCACACACAAGACATAATGGTACAGCATGCCACTACAAACTATTTAAAGATCAGCTAATTTAGATTAACTTTCTTTAGGCAATACAACACTTTTAATGAATGAAATGTGCCTTTCAATTTACGTTTGCCTCATGCAAGTTTGGAAAAGATGTATAATTTAGACTTATTCGATATCACAATCACTATTCCATAACTTTATGCATACTTAGCTGCATAGCAGAGGCTCTGTGGAATCCCTCTAGTGAAGATGCATATTGGGGCACCAGCAATAGTGTCCTGGTGCACATCAGGCTCTTACAGTGCACATCGAGACTGTAGGCTGTGTCCCTATGTGCACGGCCACTTTGCTGACTGCTATACATAGTAATATTATAGCAGCCACATCCTCAATATGGATGATGTGAAACTGCTCGATTCTGTTTCCCACAGATAGTCCCTTTTTGATAACTTATGTAGACGTAGGTCCTGTACTGAATTGGAGCCTTAGAGACCAACAAATGAAATGAGATCACCCTATTCAGTTGTTGCTTTTTTGAAACCTTGTAAATCAAAGATGGCCTTCCTGATGTTGTTGGACTTCAATTCCCAGGTCCATAGGCAACATTGGGAATGTTGTGCTCTCAAACAGAAAAAGTGAGGGCATGACATTGTCCCCTGCCCTTTCCATTCTTCATACCTCTGTTTTGATGATAGAGGCCTGCACAGAAATGTCATCATGCTCAAGTGACTGAAAGAATTTATGTATGTTTCTAGCAGTTTTTGCTTTCTGCACCTTAGCTTGCTAATAAAATGAAATAATGGCCAAGATGTGTCTTTGGAAGATGTACATGTGTGTCACAAGAAAACCCTCACTTTATGAGCAGTACAGCTCCCACTCAAAGTTTGTCAGAAAATAGTGGGATGGGTGGGGACATATCTCTCTATTTTCCTTTAGCAGGACTTGCTGTGAGATCATTGTATGCAAAGATCACACTGCTTGCCAGCTGAGTGTTTTGGGTGTTTTTGGTCATTGTATGGTTGGAAAAAAAAATTCATCCCACTAGTTAAATAGTCCCTTTTTGAGAACTTGCGTAAGTTATTGGCTTTATTAGCTCTATTGAAATTCTGTACATATGGCAAATATTGGATGGTTTACATACCAGAACTTCCGAATACTAGCTTTGGTAAATTGGAACTATCTGGATTTCTTTCAGTAACAAATACAAAAATTGGGCTTTGAAATCTGCTACTTGTATAAAGATTGAACTCTGAGGATATGAGGGCCGTAGAAACAGATTTCATGGAAGGGAGGACCTTTGTCCACTTCTATCTTGGAGGATTAGATCATCAAAGAAAATATAGTATTCTTCTGTCAACTTGTGTGAATCATGAGGATCTACCTTTGCTGGATTAGTTTATAGACAAAGAGATAGATAGCTCTTGGTTCACAGTCACCCTTCACAGTAAACATGTTACACATGATTGAACACCTTGCCTCATCAATGTTTTGATAGTATGGAGCTCTTTAACTTTCTTCAACCAAATAATTGTAAGTCATTGCAACCTTTACTTGTCAATTCAGGAAGGTTGGAAATGGAGAACAGGGTGGGTGGGGTGGAGCACTTACCATTGGCTTTCGGTGTATCTTTACAGAAACGTAAGACTTTAATAGGGCTAGGTAATTGGGAAATTTTGCTGAATCTGTGTATACAAACAATGAAATGACAGTAAATCTACCGAAAGTTTGGTTTGATTAATCCATATGCTGAGAGATGCCTAATGTTAGAAAAAGATGTTCTATACTTGGAAAATGATAGGTTACAAACATTAAAAATTCAAGTAATGCTCCTTTTAAAAATAACATCTTTATCTTTGTTACAGAGGCGGGATGAGCGCACATTGAAAAACTCAGATATCAAAGTTGTAGACTTTGGAAGTGCAACATATGATAATGAGCATCACAGCACCTTAGTGTCTACCAGACATTACAGAGCACCTGAAGTCATATTAGGTTAGTTGAGGTGTTCAAAATTACCCTGGTTATAACTTTATTTATTTATGATATTTCTATCCCGCCTTTCTCAAACCCCAAGGTGACTCAGGGGGGCTTACAACCAGGCAGCAATTTGATGCCTAACAATATCCCATTACCAGAATATAAATGGAACCAATATGTTTAAGTGTAGTATTCTCTATAATCTATGCTTTTGTAAAACTTTAGGAATAAAAAATAGAAGAGAAAGATGGAAATAATACACAGTGAAATAATGTTAACATTATTCAGTTTCCAACTTCACTAGGATTGTCAAATGACTTGAGATTTGTGAATTGTGTTGCAGCCCTTGGGTGGTCCCAGCCCTGTGATGTTTGGAGTATAGGGTGCATTTTGATTGAGTACTACCTTGGCTTTACAGTCTTTCAAGTAAGTCCATATTGTTTCATTTAAAACTTGAACTGTAATCATGAACTCATTTAAATATCTGTTAATGCTCTGATTTGATTAAATGATTATGTGTTCAGAATATTATTTTTATACTCAATATTTAGGCTATGGTTAAATATTTCTAAAATTACTCTTAAATTATGGAGATAATATTTAAGGTACAGACAGGATGAGACAGTATAACTTCCTTTTTTAAAATGTGCGCCATTCAGTCGGTTGAAGATGTAGCGGAGCGCTAGTGGTCTCATTCGAGAGGCGAGAGTATAAAGTTTTGTCCTGACAGTTCAGTCGCCATCATGCGTTGGAACAGTGAGGAGCGTGCTTTTGCTATTGAGGCCTACTTTTCAAGCAGATTTGGAGTGGCCGGCCCGCTCTCCAGATTTGGCCCCTTGTGATTTTTTTTCTGTGGGGTTTTTTGAAATCCCGTATTTATGTGAACCGTCCAAGGACCTCACAAGATTTGAAGACCAACATCCAGGAAGAAATTGCCAACATAACGCCTGCTATGCTGGCAAGAATCATGACAAACACCAGAAATCAGTTTACTCAGTGTATGGAGAATGGGGGGCGTCACCTACGTAATTTGATCTTCAAAACCACGTAAAACAAAACTAGGTATGCGCCTACATTATTTTAAAAAATTCTGATTCATACAATGGGTTTTATTAAGTTTTGAAAAAAGGAAGTTATGCTGCCTCACCCTGTATGTACTGAATTCTGAACACACAAATTTAGTCCCAGATATTTAGAATTGGAGTCCAGGATCTGGAATCCCCTTCTGAAGACAACAGTTAACTCTTTTCTGTTTTGTTTTGGTCTTTTGTTAGTGGTGTTTTTCTTTTTTTCTTTTCTTTTTGAAGACACATTTCTGTGCTGACTATTATTTATCTACGATATTTATATGCCGTCTTTCTCACCCCAAAGGGGACTCAGAGCGGCTTACAGGCAATATGTGAATACAATATATTATTACAAAAATGTGGAACGCTTCACAAATTTGCGTGCTTTATGGACAAATTTTTGTGGATAAATTGTATTTTGCATTTGACTTTGATGCATAAATATTACATGCCATGATATGTTGTTTGTTTCCAGACACATGATAGTAAAGAACATCTGGCAATGATGCAGAGAATACTAGGGCCTTTACCAGTACACATGATTAAAAAATCAAGGTGAGTTGATTTTAATTTTTAATATATTGCATAACTGATTTACAACAGAGGTTTAAAAAAATCAAAGTATCCCAGTCATTTGCATTTAAACAAGTATTTCTAGTTCATCCTGGTTTGCTGTGGGTGAGTAGCATGATGGTGCGATCAGTCTGCTCCCTACTTTACATAAGCAGGTAAAAGTAGCTAGAAATTGATAGCTTGTTGTGTTTAATGTTGGCTCCTGGTTCATTGCTTATGAGAGTCTAGGAGAGGACATGATCCACTTGTCTGTCTTATATACAAAATGAGAATTAAGACAAAGATCTTATATGCCCATCATTTTGAAATAAATACCGTAAATGTATATGATATTGGATTGCATGCAACCTGGTGAACAAAATAATAAAACTATCAAAAATACAAGATGAAGTGGGAGGTCTACTAGAATGTATAAAGCAGTTGAACCAAAGTTGGTGACTGATACTGATAGTAAGGAGGAAGACTCTGAAAAGTGGGTGAATTATATATGTAATGGGCAGCATTGTTAAAAATCTGCTGAGGACATTTATTAAGAGCAGAAGGATTAATTGTATGTGAAAACCAGAGTTAAATGTATGCTTCATTTAGTTGTTTTTGTTTTTTGTACACAGGAAGCGCTATTTCCACCAAGATCAGTTGGACTGGGATGAACATAGTTCTGCTGGGCGCTACGTAAGGAGACGGTGCAAACCACTGAAGGTCAGAGAGCATTATTTTCACATCTGTGTGACTTGGATATAGAAAGATCTATCTAAAATGTCACCTCTCTTTTTTCTTAGGACTTCATGCACTGTCATGACAAAGACCATGAGAATCTTTTTGACCTTCTTCGTAGGATGTTAGAGTACGACCCATTGAAGAGAATTACTCTAGATGAGGCATTGGAGCATCCTTTCTTTGATCCTCTAAAAGAGAAAGAATTCAGTTGATCTTATCTCTTTTAAAGGGGGTGATTTGGACTGTGCCAGCCAACACCAAGGCCTAAATGCAATGTCATTGCAACACCAGCGTATGTGAACTGCCTTCCCTGCTCTTTTCTGTCCTCTTTGGTGTCAGTCGGGCCACCTTTTCAGTGTTTCCAGCCACCAGAGCAGGTTTTGGGTGCAAGATGTCCTGTCCCCCCATCAGGTTAGGCTACAGATATATTGTAAATAATAAATTACTTTGTACAGTTGATTCTGTATATATAACTCTACATTTTTGTATAGAATTGTGTATCTTGTTCAGTGGTTATCGTCTTGATCATGGATGCTTTAAGGTAGACATTAAAACTTTGGTTTTCTACAACTGATTGCACTTTTTTGAGCTACAGCTATTACTGATACCTGAAGAAGGCTTTCTAAAATGATTTAAAATGGCCAAAGAATGATAAACACAGGCCTAAGTGTTTTTCAGAGTAAATCCAGTATTTGGGGAAAGTACTTCCTTCAAGCTTAACATGTTTCCCTGAATTGTCATTTAGGCAGATATTAAATTGTATTAACATTTTAAAAATTTGATAGAATTTGCGATGAGGATTGGCTTTTTGCCAGCATGCCATTTTATATTTTAGAACACTTCTTAACATTAATTTTATTTAATTGCTACTTGATTATTATCAAATCAGACTTGTCATGCTGCAGCTCCCATGTCCTGAGCTCCCTAGAAAAATCAAAGGCAATAAAAAGAGCAGTAAGATTCTCCATTAGATTGTACAAAACCTCGCTTTGAATCTAATTTTGTAGTCTACAAACTCCTCTTCCATTCCATCTCAAGAAAAATATGCCACTGGTGTTACTTTGGCACTGATCATTTTAACTGCATGCTTAAAAATATCCTGATTAAAAAAAGAAGTGTGGATTTTAAAACTTGCACAGAGAATTTTGTACCTATTCCTTGGTCTAATTAAAGTATAACCAAAATACAGATTTACAGCAAGGGTATGGCATAATCCAAAGGCTCATCGAATTAAAGGTATAAAATTAGAGGTTTCATACCCTTTTCAAAAATTTTACTGGGAGCTACTTTATACAGTTGCTCATACCTGCAAATAGAACTGTTTAAGAATTATTTGTATTTTGATTTGTGTCTTAATGATTTAAAAGAACTAATAAGATTGTGCGTCAATCAGAAGTGTTTGAGTAACAAATGAAATATTTATTGTAAAAACAAATACTGGTAATTCATCAAGACAGACACTTTTTTGTAAGCATATACACTCGTGGTCAGACTATAAAGTTCTGTGGAAGTGCTAAGTGCTTATAAATTTTTTTTGAAAGGGGCAACTGCAGGCCTGTCAGTGGTTCTCAACCTGGTAAACAGCAGCTGGTAAACTGGCTGGGATTTCTGGGAGTTGTAGGCCAAAAACATCTGGGGACCCCAGGTTGAGAACCACTGCAAGGTACCAGATCCTGTATGGACTTGGTAGCTAAATAGGTCAATATTTAGGTGGGAAACAGCCAACAAACACCAGATGCAGTAGGAAAAAAGTGGCAAAACCACCTTTGAGTATTCCCTAAGAAAGCCCTAGGAAATCAATGGTGTTGCCTAAGTGCACAGGTGACTTAAAGGCACATACACACAATAAGGGCCCCCAAAATTGTTGCCAGTTTGGCAGCTGAACATTCATGTTCCACTAGAGGGCACTATATGTTAATACCTAACAGTATTTTACAGTACCTAGACAGGATAAGTTGGAAACCCATAGAACAGGCATGGGCAAACTTTGGCCCTCAGTGTTTTAGACTTCAACTCCCACAATTCCTAACACCTGTAGGGCCAAAGTTTGCCTATGCCTGGTTTAGAAGGACAAAGCTGATTTTTTCAGTCTTAACTTCAGCAATATTTCTCAACAGTAATAGTGACTTTTATCCTTTTCGTTGTTCAGTTACAATTCAGATGTCTTCATTTGACCTAGTCCTGTTATAATAGTTGCCTCTTTTAATGTTTAAAAACAGTTTGAAAATAAATTGTGAGGATTAGTATTATTTCAATGTTAGAATCCGTGATTTCTTACAATATGTGTACTCTCTGCTTGTTTCCTCACACAGTGTACCAAAAGATGACATACTTAAAGTTATATTGGACTTTAAAATCCTAATTAGTGGGTTGTTGTGAGATGCCTGCCATAGATGCAGTGAAACGTTAGGAGAGAATGATTCTGGAACATGGCCATACAGCCCCAAAACCTTACAACAACCCAGTGATTCCAACCATGAAAGCCTTCAAGAATACAATCCTAATTAGGTTGGTTTAAAAGCAAGTATTTCAAAATTATCATGCCAATTTCACATATGTACATGGAGCCATGATTGGAAGGAATGTGCAATAACCTTGGATGTAGGCCACATTGAAGCATGGTACTCAAAAAAGAAAGAAAGTTTTTTTTCCCCTTTCTTTATGGAATTTTCTGATGAACCATAAGGACATGCCCAGTGCTCTTTGCTCATCATATTATGTCAGCTGTACATTGGTCACTTCCCTCCTTGGTCTGTAGGCTCCGTTCTCCACTGTACTTTTTCAATACTTTGTAGATCCTGGAAGCTCATGGGTTTTTGTTAATCAGGATATTTTGTTTTCCCATTTATTTTTGGAAAGTCTCTTTCATTTTGGCAATGGTTTTTTTCCATCCAGCTGTGATATTAAAAAGAACAAGCCCCTTTGCTGTATATTCCCGCAACAGGTGTGTTCCTGGTTCAGAACTAGGGTTGCCAGAAAGTCCCCGTTGTTGTCCATTTTTGTATAGAAAGTAAAATACATTCTGCCAAACTGTGACAAGGCCCTTGTTTGTTTCATATAGAATATGGTTGTCAGAGTAAAAGCCTACCTTGAACCCATGTCCTTTATTGCAATACAGGATGAATGTAACATCCATCACCTCGGCTCCAATGCTTACCTCCAGTAATCATATCAGTAAATAAAAAACGCTCAGTCCCGACAGTTCTCTTCCTTACCTTCATTACTTTAAACCAGAGTTTAAAGTAACTACTCTCAACCATGAATACAATATTTCTGAACGCAGCATTTGTCCAAATTGTGGTTCTTTTCCCTGCTTCTTGGAATGAAGGAGTTGCTCATAGGAGAGGAAATGAGATGCCCATGCTTTTAGGTCAGCTGTAATTGGGCAGCAACAAGTTTCCTTCTCTTTCCATCCTCGAATTGCTAGTCATAGAATGAGTAACTTTGACAGGCTTTATCTCGATCTCAACTTTCTGCTCTGTAAAGCCCCAAACTGCAGTCTTCTGTTTGGATAGTCATATGATTACCAATTGGTTGACACTTTACTGCCTAATTTCACTGTCGGAAAGGATGACAGCAGTAGCTTTGGGGAACTTCAAACGTTTTCCCTTGTGAGTGCAATGCCAAACTCAGACATCAAATTGGAAATGCCTCACCAACCTAACAATATCTAGTTCCATTAGTAAAATAATGTTATTCATGCTGCTTTTGTGTGACAGCTGCAGTTTCCATTGTCCTAACCTTGATGGGTGCTAGCAGTGAGACGTACATACATAAGTGTGCATATATATAGTGACAATCCTGGAGGTGGGGGCCCTGAATATGAATGGCAACATCTGTACTGATGCAGAATTTAAAATAGTTTATTTTAAAGCATCCAATGAGGCCATTATTCACATGAACAATAATACAAAATGGAAGGTGAATGTCAAAAACATCAGAGGGGCCATATCTCTGCTTTTCTTCACACTCCATTTGTTCCAAGTTGTTGACATATTCACACTATACAATCCAATTGTTATTATTCCACTTTACTTGCCAATGTTTCATCCTATAGAATTCTGGAGATTGTAGTTTGGAGAGGAACTAGGAAGCTCTGTCTAAGAATTCTAAATACCTCTCTAAACTAGAATTCCCAGGATAGTGTGGAATATGGCACTATTAATTGCGTAGTGTAATGGGCACTGAGTGGCAATTGAGCTACTAATATACCTCATGCTGCTGCTCTATCAGGGACAATCCCAGATAATATCTGATCTAGGAGCAAAAATGGAGAGGATCTTTTCAAATTACCTATTCCTTTTGATGGCCCTCTAGATGTTGGGACTACTAACCACAGAATCCCTCATCAAAGACTATGCTGCTTAGGACTACTGGGAGCTGCTATCCAATGGCTGATAGAGAGGCAGAGGATTCTCACTTCTGATTGAGAAAGTGTTGCACTGAAGTAGCAAGGCTTCTCAGTAAATAGCATAAGGCTGAGCTTTAAGCAATGCATATGTCCTATGTATGGTCCTAAAAAATTGAATATCTTTCCTCCATGTAGCCATGACTTTTAGGAAATTACTATAGTGATTTTATTTTTAACCAAAGTTTGGCACTAATGCACATCAAATAGCATAGTTACCTGAAACCAATTCCTATTTTTGAGATAGTGAGGTTGTCATAAAATTGTTTTGCAAAAGTAACATAAGTAAGAGTGGACTTGCTTTATCAGTGTAACAAGTGGCTAATTCCTTTAGAAAGTCAGTTTTAACAGGCATTTTGAAGAGTTGTTTTCTCACATAAGCCCTAACATTCCTTCACCCTCAAGAAGGGGGCAGAATGAATGGAAAAATAATGAGCAGCATAAGAAGTAAAGTACAAAAAGTTAATTTCTCAGCATTGCACTTAATGATAGCCATGGGTTCTTTTTCCAACACTATAACAGGATTTTTTGTGTCAAGAGTGTCAAGAGAAACTGCAAGTTGCTTCTGGTGTGAGAGAACTGCCCGTCTGCAAGGACTTTGCCCAGGGGATGCCCGGATATTTGGATGTTTACCATCCTTATGCGAGGCTTCTCTGCTCATGGGGAGCTGGAGCTGACAGAGGTAGCTCATCCATGCTCTCCCTGGATTTGAACCTCCAAACTGTCGGTCTTCAGTCCTGCCGGCACAAGGGTTTAACCTATTGAGCCAGCCACTGGGGGCTCCTATGACTTTTTTTCAAAAACAAAGTTCCCAAGTTCTGTCCTTAACCTTATCACTTTTATTTCACAGCTAGTTGGCAGTCTCCATCTTGGGAGCCATTTTAGCTGCAGAGACAACAGCTGTTATATCTGACCAAATTTGAGGGGAAGGGGTGTTTGTTTCTTTCTCTATCTACATCTTGTACCATCCAGCCTGATGAATAATTCTGGAGGATCAGAACGCTCAAGACAAAAAGGAAGCAAGCCTCACGTGCTAATAGATGTTCAACTATTCCTTTAGAAAGGTCAATGTCTTTCAGTCTAAATGAGGAAAGGCCTTCTTCAGGGGCTAAAAACAGAACATAAATACAAATAAAATCCATTATAAATGTTTTAAAAGACAGGACAACACTAAACTAAATGTATCCTATACAAACACACATTATTTTTCATATCGAAAGCATGCATATGATTCATCAGACATATCTGGAGTTGCTCAGAACACACTCCAACATATTAGACCATTAAGTACTAAAAGTCTACAATTTCTAGTTATTTATACATATTTCAGATAGTCATTAAAGAGGACTATCTGAAATATACAATGGTATGTAAAGAAATCAGTCACAAGAGATCTGTTGCAATCTATCTGAGCAATTAGCTTTTTAATTATTTTATACTGTAATCCTTCTATAATGCTTTTCTATTAAAGATTGTAAATCCCAATCTTCATTTAGACTTAATAGCAGGGATTTCAGTTTTAGAATATGGAAGGTTCCCCTCATTTGTAGCGTTTCAGTGATATGCTAATACTCTAGCCTTTGTTTGCATCTGGGAAAATGGAGTTGCATCTTGAAAACGAAGCTGCATCTTTTTACGAACTTTTTAACTATAGTATGGTAAACATACTACTGAGTGACTTCTATACTGTTTAATTTGGAGGAAAGGAAGTGTGGCTGCACAAGCAGAAGTTTAAAGCTGTGTCCTCTCTCTGACCTCGAAGGGCCTGGATTTAGATCACTATAAAGTTCCTCTAATTACTGGATGGGGTGGAGGTCTGTGCATGCTCAGGGATATTCTCTCCAGCCAGCTGGAAGGTATATATATTTGCCACCTTAAGTTCCCATATTATGCAGGCTTAAGCCAAGAGTAAGCTCCACTGAACACAGCAGAATGAACTTCTAAGTAAATGTGCCCTTGTTTGTTATCTCGCCTTTCTTTTGCACCTTCATCCTAAGTCAATTGACACTTCTAAGTTCAATAGGATTTATTCCAGAGTAATTAACTAGAGTCCTTAAATTTAGCCTCTCGTCAAGGGATAAGAAAATAGAACCTGAGATGGTGAAAGTCATGGACCAAGGCCTATTAAGCATTCCTGCTTAGGATACAGTGTCCAAGGGAACATGGTGTTCAATAGGTCTTCTTCCCAGGTGAACATACAGGATTGCAGAGCTGGAATGAAGGCTGAGCTTTCCAGCTCCAAATCCAACATTAGCCATTGTTTTACAGTGCAGATGAGAGGAAACTTGGAAGGCTTCTGCTTTGTGGTTTTGTTCTTTGGCTCAGTTTAACCCCCCTCCTCCATTGCCCTGCACTTCAAAGAGTAAGACTATAATATTATACTTGATGATCTCAATTAATTGGACTTACTGCTAGGTAACTGATATAACTTCTATAGAAAAATTATCCCTTCAGAGATACGGAGGATACTCTCTTTGAGTCCCTTTGTTAACTGTTTTTCCTGTTAGCTATTCTTACAGCATAATTTGTTAAGGTACCATGAAAACAAGTCCCCAGAATACATGAATATTGTGAGTGTGTGTGTAAAGGAAAGGTTCCTCCTGGTGATTGTAAAGCAGTGGTTCCCAACCTTTTTTGATCAGGGACCACATTGCCCAGGTACCTCTCTCCAACATTAGTACCAAAAGGGTTACAAATCAGTTTTGGTCAACTTTAATTGGGTTTGGTTATTTGGGGTGCTGATTCAGAAAATTGCATTGGATAGGCCACATCAGCTCTAGTTTTTGATACAGAACATATGCCATCCAGTAGTTGCCATCTGCTTACCCACAGAAAACCATATTTAATAATCTAGAGCTGATGTAGTAGTAATCTTTCATGGGTAGTCAGCCTCTTCCCTCCCGACATCCCTGTTTCCTCGGCACTATGAGAGTGTTTCATGAGACCAGTCGCTCTTGTTGCTGAGTGGTGTAAGATGCTTCTGATGTAAGATAATTGTTTGTCTGCAAGGACGTTGCCCAGGGCGTTGTCTGCAAGGACGTTGTTCGATGTTTTACCATCCTTGTGGGAGGCTTCTCTCATGTCCCCGCATGGGGAGCTCGAGCTGACAGAGGGAGCTCATCCGTGCTCTCTCTGGATTCAAACATCTGACCTGTCAGGCCCAGCACAAGGGTTTACCCCATTGCACCACAGGAGGCTCCAGAACAACAAGCTATACATTTAGGAGCCCTTGGTGGTGCAGTGGGTAAAAGCGCTGAGCTGCTGAACTTACTAACCAAAAGGTTGCAGGTTCAAATCCAGGGAGTTGGGTGAGCTCCCGCTGTTAGCCCCAGTTTCTGCCAACCAGCAGTTTGAAAACATGCAAATGTGAGTAGATCAATAGGTACCATTCTGGCGGGAAGGTAACGGTGCTCCATACAGTCATGCCGGCCACATGACCTTGGAGGTGTCTACGGTCAATGCCGGCTCTTCGGCTTAGAAATGGAGATGAGCACCAACCCACAGAGTTGGACACGACTGGACTTAATGTCAGAGCAAATGTATGTATATAACTAAGATGGAGCCAGTGTGGTTTGAGCATTGCATTGTGACTCTAGAAGACTCTAGAAAATCTGCTGTGCTGTGGAAATTCCTACTCTCACGATCTCAGAGGAAAGTAAACCCCCTTTGAGCAAAAAAAAAAAAAGTATCTGTAATAGGTTTGCCATACAGCAGGCATGGGCCAACTTGGGCCTTCCTCCAGGTGTTTTGGACTTCAACTCCCACAGCCTACTGGCTGTTAGGAATGGTGGGAGTGAAGTCCAAAACACCTGGAGGAAGGCCCAAGTTGGCCCATGCCTGATCCACACTGTAGAATTGGAGTGGTTTTTTGATCCCACTTGACTTGCCATGCCTCAATGCTGAATGTTGTCATTTGGAGAGGCACCAGCACTCTTTGGCAGGTAAGGCCGCAGACCTTTCTCTCTTGCCTGGGGCTTGCCTGGCCTCGTTCCCTCCTGCCTGCCCTGGGAGGAGACTGGGTTAGGGATCCCTGCGGAGGGGCAGCCTTGGTCCGAGGGGGTCTCCTCCCTCCCTCCCTCCTTCCCTGCCAAAGCGGCGAGGGGAGAGCCAGCCCGACGACCCACCTCCCGGCCTGTCTGGCTCCTTCCCCATCCCTCTCGCCCTCCCTTCCTCCCTCCCTCCCTCCTTCCCCGCCCCGCGCAGCTGGAGGGCCATGCGAGGGAAAGAGGCCACGCTTCCCAAACTTCCTGCCCCACTTTCTCAGCAGCCGGCTGCCAGGAGCTGAGGCAAAAGGGAGAAGAAGGAGAAAGGCAGCTCCCTGAAGGCGAGAGCGGCGGCGGCGTCCCCCTCTTCCTCTTCTCTTCCTCGGGCCATGGGCGAGCCTCGGGAGAAGCCCCCCGCGGGCGGCGGCGGAGGAGGTGTGGGCCGGGTGTCGGTGGGTCTCTCTCTGCTCTTCTCGCTGCTCTCGGTGGGCGCCTGCCTCCTCCTCAGCGCCAAGACCTCCCGGCTGCAGGGCCGGCTGCTCGCCCTCGAGGAGGAGATGGTCGCCGGGCGGAGAGACCCCGGCGCAGAGAGCCCGCTCCAAGGGCAGCCTTGGCTCGCCGCCCTCCAGCCTCAGGTGGACGAGCTTCTGCGGGAGGTGAGTCCAGGCGGGAGAGAGAGACAGAGAGGAGTTGCTGGCCATCTGTCAGGGGTGATTTGGATGCAATATTCCTGCTTCTTGGCAGAATGGGGTTGGACTGGATGGCCCATGAGGTCTCTTCCAACTCTTGGTTTCTAGGATTCTATGATTCCGGGCTGTATGGCCATGCTCCAGAAGCATTCTCTCCTGACGTTTCGCCTGCATCTATGGCAGGCATCCTCAGAGGTGGGGAGGACCTCACAACGTGTATCTGTGGCAGGCATCCTCAGAGGATCAAGCAGACCCTTTAAAGCCAGGCTTTCAAGCTGCAAGGCCATTAAATGCTAATCGAGGTGGCCAATTGCAAGAAAATCTCCCAAATTGTGCCTTTGTGTTGTCGAAAGCTTTCATGGCCAGAATCATTGGGTTGCTGGGAGGTTTCCGGGTTGCGTGGCCATTTTCCAGACAGGAAACTAACACTTCCCAACAAAGGATTCCCCAAGCAGGAAGAAGCCAGGCTCTGAAGCAGCAAGGACATTCAATGCTAATCAAAGTGGCCAATTGCAACATTCACACTTGCCTTCAACAGATAAGAGTTCTTTTTCCCACCCTAGACAGATATATCAACCCCACTTGCCTAGTTTCCAACAGTCCTCACAACCTCTGAGGATGCCTGCCATAGATGCGGGTTAAACGTCAGGAGAGAATGCTTCTGGGACATGGCCGTACAGCCCGGAAAACTTACAGCAACCCAGTGATTCCGGCCGACAGGACAGAAAGAGAGGACTTTCTGGGGGATATGCTGCCTCGGAGGGTGATGGAGTCTCCTTCTCTGGAGACTGTATGGCCATCTGTCGGGGGAGGTTTGGGTGGTCGGACTGGATGGCCCTTGGGGGTCTCTTCTGATTGTGCCCATTCGGAGCGCCCTCCCCCCAGAGATCTCACCCCCAGCTCCTCCTCGGTCCCATTTGGTTTTAGCAAAGCCAGAGGTGTGAGCGAAGGCTGAGCTTGAACAAGGAAGGTCCATCCTATCCGCAGGGAGGGGAGGGGAGGGGAGGACAGAGGCGAGCCCTCGCCTGCTGCAGGACCTAAAAGTGGATCCCGAGGCGGAGCTTCTCCTCTCTTGGCGTGAACTTTAGATCTGCTGAGGCCGCAGCTTGGCCTCCTCCTCCCTGGCAGGGCAGCCTCCCTCTCAGGTGCCTCTGGGAGGGACCCCGGCAAGAAGTCGCAAGGCAACCGCTGGGGACACATACCCAGCTGCATCTGCCGCTTGGCACCTCATGAACTGCCATGTCTTCATGCTAAGGAATCCAGGGGGTTGTCATTTGGGGAGGCAACAGCTCTCTGTGGGCAGAGATGGCGAGAGACCTTGTCAAATTAAACTCACAGGTTCCATAGCATGGAGCCATGGCAGAAGTGGGGCCAAGCTGCATTCTCCAGCCAAGGGATTCTCTGGCTTTTCCCAATAGTGAACTCTGGCATAGCTCAGCTGCTGCCATATGGCCATGTTCCAGAAGCATTCTCTCCTGACGTTTTGCCTGCATCTATGGCAGGCATCCTCAGAGGTTGTGAGGTCTGTTGGAAACTAGGAAAATGGGGGGTCTATCTATCTATCTCTGTGGAATAATGTCCAGAGTGGGAGAAAGAACTCTTGTCTGTTGGAGGTAGGTGCGGCTGTTGCAATTGGCCACCTTGATTAGAATGGAATAATAGCCTAGCGTAGGCTTATAGGATTGTTGTAGGGGTTTATGGCCATGTTCCAGAAGCATTCTTTCCTGATGTTTGGCCTGCATCTATAGAAGGCATCCTCAAAGGTTATGAGGTTTGAGGATGCCTGCCATAGATACAGGCCAAACGTCAGGAAAGAATGCTTCTGGAACATGGCCATACAACCTGAAAAACTTGCAGCAACCCAGTGATTCCAGCCATGAAAGGCTTCGACAATACATTTGACATAGCTTTCTTTCAGTTGCGAGTCTGGCTCCCTTCACACTATATTTTTATTCCAGCGGTCCTCCAGGGAGTTCAGCTCACAACATGATCCCGACCCTTTGGCCCCTCTCACCCTTCAGACATTTTTCTGGCAGGAGGTTTGGATGAGATGTGAAACAATTGGTTCAAGGTGATCTCGTGAAGTACACTAACACACACACACACATCCTTCCTCTCCCCCCCCCCCCCCCCCCCCAATTGCTAGATTGCAAAACTGTCTGCTCAGTAGTGATTTCCAAACCTGAATCCTTCAAGTTCTGGAACTTCAACTTCCAGCAGCTTCTTCTGTCTTGGCCAATGATCAGGGATTCTGGGAGCTGAAGTCCTAAAGTCCCTTAAATACCAGAATTTGGAAAGCACTCTAAGGCAGTGTTTTTCAACCTGAAGGTTGGGACCCCTGGGGGGGGGGTGTGAGGGGGGTTTCAGAGGGAGAGGTCACCAAAGACCATTAGAAAACACATATTTCTGATGATCTAGGAACCTCTTTGGCAGAGAAGGCTGAAGATCTCTCTGCCTGTCCTTCTCTTCCTTTTTGGAAACAGATGGCAGATCCTCCCACCCAAAACCCATCTCCTTTTCTCTAGATGTAAGTGAACAAACACTCCAAAACTCAAGGTCAGCGCCCACCAAACCCTTCCAGTATTTTTTGTTGGTCATGGGAGCTCTGTGTGCCAAGATTGGTTCAATTCCATCATTTGTGGAATTCAGAATGCTCTTTGATTGTAGGTGAACTATAAATCCCAGCAACTACAACTCCCAAATGACAAAATCAATCTCCCTCCCAACCCCACCAGTGTTCAAATTTGGGTATTATGGGCATTTGTGCCAAATTTGGACCAGTGAATGAAAATCTATCCTGCATATCAGATATTTACATTACGATCCATAACAGTGGCAAAATTAGAGTTATGAAGTAGCAACGAAAATAATTTTATGGTTGAGATCACCACAACATGAGAAACTGTATTAAGAGGTCGCAGCATTAGGGAGGTTGAGAAACACTGCTCTAAACATTGAGCTGATAAGAGTGCGCTTCTGAGCATGGGCAGGTTGCTGTGATCATGTCCCTTAGATAGCTATACGTTTGGATTTAAGAACAAATGGGGTTTCCACATAAAAAAAGGGTGTTTGATTTCTGGAAAGGCTTTGATCACAGGCACCTTTCACTTTTGAAACTGAGCATGGATGGTTGGGTCAACCTTTCGTTACAAGTGCTTTGAAGTTGTTTAAGTCTGCTGTGGAGTGCTGGAATCCCTGTTATTATTTTTGGGATATGCCTTCATGTCAACTCTGACTGATGGCAATTCTCTCACAGGGTTTTCTTGACAAGTTCAATGCAATGGAGCTTTGGGATTGCCATCTTCTGAGGCTGAGGAGCATGACTTCCCCAAGGTCACCCAGTGGGTTTCCACGGCTGGGTCGGGAGTCAAATGCCAGTTTCTTAGAGTCCAACACTCAAACGCTGCACATATGCTGGCTCTAACAAATGAAATTTGTTGCAGTCCTCCTATTCTGTAGGATTTGTAAAGCCCATAAAATAAACAAGACTGCTCAAGATAAGAGGTACTACAGCAGCCTTTCCCAGAAGAGGAATAGCCTTACATCAAAGTTTATGGAAAAAATTATTTACATGTCACTAAGGATTCTTGTATAGGGTTGCAAACATTTACATGATTGATATAGAAAAACGGGACTTAGAGCAGCTTTGAAGACTAATTTACTTATTGCACCACATGCTTTTGTGAGTTGGAGGTCACGAAGACTCAAGCCATACACATATGGAAGTCTTTGACATGCCACAGGATTCTTTTTTTTCTTGGTGTGACAGAGTAACATGTCAGCTCAGGAAGCAGATGTGAAAGTTCATGTCAGGAAAGTTAGGGAATTACACATGACGAGTCATTTGAGATCATCTTTCTCTAACCTGGTGCGCTGCAGATGTATTGTACTACAAATCGCATCATCCAGAGCCAACATGGTAATCAAGAAGGTAGTTTTCATTAATACGCATAGCACCTAAAGCCTTTTGGTCCATGAGACTCTGGAACTTACAGCTGTTTCCACTTATCTAAGCCGTATACCTTTCAGTCTTGTGTTTCCAGACTAAAGCTTCATTAAGAACCCACTATTTGTCTGTTAGTTGTCTTGGCATTACAAAGAATGATAGACAGTTCAGAAGTGTTTGGTTGTGAAACTTTACCCAAAAATTAATGTAAAAGGAGGTAAGCAAGCCATGATGTTTCTCATTATGTAGATATATCTCTACTACTGGAAAATTGGCATGAAATTACTTAATTCTTAAATAGGACCAGGAGGCAGAACCTGACAACAGTGTGTATATACTTGCCTCTCATTCAATTCAGTGTTGATTGTGAACAGCAAAGAAAAGAATAACAGAGTTTGACTAGATCTCAGAGATCTAGGTCCTGGAAAATGACAAACATCATTCATTACAATGTAAGCAGCTGTGGTCAGAGTGAGCAGCTTGCTTGTATTCCTACAGTCAAGTTGTTATGGCATATATGTCATTCATATATGACAGTTGTCCAACAATTCTCAGGCATATTTCCTTCATGACCTGTTTATTGCCACAGGATAACTTGTCAATGTATCCTAGAGAATACTCTTCTGTTATAAACAGAACATTTCTATTAGTACTTTGGATTTTGTACTTGGTGCATATTCATTCATTCATTTAGTCTATACGCTACATTTCTACTCTCAGCTTTGAAATGGTTGAACAGAAGCTCTCTGAAGCTATAGGTGCTCTTACTGCCTATTACAGGCAAAACCAGCCAATTCCTAATCCATCTAAAACACAGACAGGTGCTTTCTATCTTAAGAACAGACAAGTTTCTCAAGCTCTGAGGATTACCTGGGAAGGAATCCCACTGGAGCATTGCAGCACAACCAAATACCTGGGAGTTACCTGGGACCATGCTCTGACCTACAAGAAGCACTGCCTGAATATCAGGGAAAAGTGGGTGCTAGAAACAATATCATATGAAAACTTACTGGCACAACCT